CTCAGTGTTTAGAGCCATTTTCAACTGGATGTGATACACGTGATCAATCGGATCGGTCGTTCCGTCGAACAGAATGAAAACAGGCATGGAATATTTCCTCAGACTCGGAGCATTCAGAATCTCATCAGTGAACGGTGAATCAACTGTTCGAGCTGCTGAACGGAGTGCTTCATTTTCCCTCTGGAACCCCATGGTTGCTCTTTGGTCTACTGATCTCTTCTCTGAGTTGTGATAGTCAAACGTCGTCATGGAAGGCCGATAGGTCGGATCGAATGACCTGTCCTCAACAAAGTCTTTGCGCCATGGAGGCATAGCTTTGTGACGATTCAACTCTGTTGCTTCACCTCGGCTGAGCGTTTCTAGATGTGGATCAAAAGACATTGCTTCGTTTCGCCTGATTTGCTCACGCCGTGGATCCATGTGAGTTGATCCTTCACGATCATCAATACAACAAAGATTTGGCAGCAAACCGTCTCGCCGGATTTCCTCGCTGTGAGGATCTACTAGATTGTTTCTGACCTCTTCACCATGATGTGCTGCATCGGTACGTGCACCTTCTTCTCCTACCGGGAGTGGTCATGGAATTACTGGAGCTTCTTTATGCTGCATTTCAGTCCTTAGATTCGCATTTTCTCTCCGGAGAGCTTCGATCATGTTCATCAACTCATCAAGTTTCACTTGCTGGACGTTCTCAACCGTATTGGAGTTGTCACCCCCTATCATGATTCCAGATCGAAGCAAAGGCATGAACTACGAACTCCGAAACAGATCTAAGCGTCACCGATGCAAACTCCGTTAGATCTGGGCTTAACTTCACCGAATCGTGATCACTGTTTGCTAGATCTGAACTTTTCTAGCTTTGAACTCACCGGATCTGACTGCAATTGAGCAAATCATAATTGCGTCATTCCGAAGCAAATGCCTCAGAATCCACAATAAGCAAGAATTCTCTCTGAACAAACTACAATCTCACTGATCTGGATTCAACTTCCATAAATCACACTGTGTACTCACAAACTTGATTGAACTAATATGGTACTGATCGGGCTCGAATTGATCTTCTTCTCCGTTCCCACAGACGGCACCAATTGAAGATGCAAGAATTCGTTTCTTCTTTTTCTCTCTAGAATTCTTACCCTTCAATAGAATCCAAAAAATTCTCTTCCCTTATCCACCTGTAATGGTCTATAAATAAACTATTACAATTATTATTGTTAACTGATTACATTGGGCCTATATTCAAAAGTTTTCTTCCTTCTGGGTCTGATCTTCCAATGGGCTTGATCTTCCTCGGTGGATCCTCCAGGTTCGGCCTATTCCGGGGTGCTTTGGCATGGGCCATACTTCAATTGTTCGACCCGATCCCGTTCCAGCGAACTATATCCGGCCCATGCCACTTGCTGCATCCTCAACTAATATAGTGCAAAAGGTCCCTGTGTGGTATAAAACCCCCCTATACTATCAATTTGGTGCAAATAGGTCCATGTGTCGTATAAAATGATGATAATACCGTCACTTCAGTTGAATAAATTAGAACTATAAATACATGCCATGTAAAATGATTCTTTTGTCCAATTTGTGTAAAATTGTGTCTTTTTGGAACAAGAATAAAATAAACCTCAATTTGTATAAAATTGGAATAAGCTAAAATAAAGAAACCTAAAATTGGATATAATAAAAACCGAAACCAAACAACCACCTTCTCCCACTACCCATGCCGCCGCTTCCTCCCATTGCCCATGCCCCCCCCCCCCCCCCTCTCTCTCTCTCTCTCTCTTTTCCGTGTTTTGACTTCCCCATTTTGAATCACATATAAAACCAACCCCTCTACTCCCAGCTTCTTCAAACCAAAATCCACAACCTCTCCAACAACTTCACAATCCACTTTCAAACTCAAATTTTCTATTATTTTCTCTCTATATAATCATTTTCATCAACTGAACTTCCTGGGTTTTTCTTATTTGATCCAACTTGTCATTATCGATCAAGGAGATTTTAATTTCTTAGATTAAATTTGATCTATCTGGTTCTTCTTTGCATTACTTACAATGTCTTAGAAAACTAAGATCAATTGCTCCGAAAACGAAGCCAACAAGCAGTGCATGGAAGCTTCCGGTGCAGCCAAGTTCTTAGTTTCAATTATCATCAACAAAATTCCCAAAAACCTCAAAAAGGATTTAGGGTATTTCATTGTGTTTACCCTAACATAATTATAATTATAATTTAATTTTATGTGTCTATTGAATTGATAAAATTTTAAAATATTACAAGCATAAAAATTATATATATATATATATATATATATATATATATATATATATAAGGTTAAATGTAAAAAAAAAAACCCCTGAACAATGAATTTGTTGCATTTCAGTCCATTTTGGCCAGGAAAAATAAAAAGTTTGATTTACCCTTATCAAAACGACGTAGTTTTGAGAGTGTTTAAGCTAAGTGAATCAAATGACACATATACCCTTATTATTGTCTAGTCCTGGAATAATGCTCAAGTCGTAACCAAACAAGGCCAAATATATATGTATGTATCTGTTGTATCCCCTATTGTAAAGCCCAAACATAACACAGATCCAAAAAATGATACCAAAAAAAAAAAAAAACACAAAAAAAAAACAAAAAACAAAATACAGATCTAAAATCGATCAAGAAGGGTCGGCTGTGAAGAGGTTGTCCGGTGAGGGCTCGGCCGTGATAGTCTGATTGGCGATGGAAAAAGCTCGGTTGTGAGCTTGCAGCGCGGGGTCGACTTTGGGTGATGTCGAGGACTCAGCCGCGATGGAGGGGTTGCCTCAGCCACGCTTGCTCCGGCAGCTGTAATTACTCCGCCTCAGTCACTTTCTCTTCGTAATGGCAGCTTTACAGTGGTCTATCCACCGTCATATCAAAGCCCAATGGTGTCTGCGGTATCGACACCAACTCAGCCACCATCATAATCTCTAAGGAAGAAGACGACTGCCGTGGCGTGAGGGGCGTGAATAACACGCGATTTACTAAACCTGCTTACTAGAGGCGTCCACTGTAGTGACTTATTTCGTTCCTGAGTTGGCATCTGTAGTGGCGATGGCATGGGTGTGTTGGTGGTAGCGGAGTGGGTGGTGGTGGGTCTTTTTTTTTTTTTTTTTTGGTTACAGGATTCTGAAATCAACAAAAATCTACTTCACCTGAAACTTAAAAAAAAAAAAAAAATCTAAAACGCACTAAATTCCTTTAATCTCGCAAAGGAGCTTGGTGGTGTTAGGAACAGTCGGCGAGCTTGGAACTGAATCGGCTAGCTTGGAATAGTCGGCGAGTTTGATCATTGTTGTTGCAGGGGACGGATTTGATGGAGACAAAGGGTGTGTTTGGTAATGACAGTGGGCATTTTTGTCCTTTTATGTGAATAAGGGCATTCTGGTCCTATATTTTAGACATCCGTATCACGTGACGGCCCATGCCATCAAAACCTGCCGGATGTAGTCATCTGCAACAAAATTGAATAGTCCAGGGGGTTAGTTGCAACTTTTGTAGTTCAAGGGGGTTAGTTGCTGAAATGCCAATAGTTCAGGGAGGTTTTTTTGCGTTTAACCCATATAAATATATATCATAAGAACCCTAGAGAGAAGGGGGAGGAGAGAGAGGGGCAAGGAAATGGGCACAGGGAGGGTTATATGCACATATGAGTGAGGGGCAAAATGGGAATAAAAAAGGTAAAATAGGGTTTTCATATTTAATTTTTGTCAAAAAGTGGTCAGAGGGGCTTATTTGCATCTTTTTTGAATTTCGTAGACTAACATGCATATTTTTAAAAAATATGAACTAGTTGTGTACAAACTCTATATATCAATTTATTTATTTTATTATTATTATTATTTTTTAGCATTTAACCCAAAAAAGATAAAATTTGATGTATAAAGAATGGTGAATCATTAATGCTCTTTAGTTCTTGCATGGTAATAAGACCAGTTAACTGGACAAATTCAAATTGTTTAGTAAGTGGATGCCTTTTAGAGGTTGCGTGCTTTGGACTAGGTTGTGCCGGATTTCACATGACCGACTAGTAGGAGTCTGGCAAAACCATGGGGCTTGTTCTCTATTTAACCACCTAAATTTGCGTAGTTGTTCTGGATCTCAAGGGCCAAGCTGAGCCAGGGTGATAATTTCAATAAAATTAGTCTCTTCAAATCAGGAAGCTTGTGAAGTTTTGTTAATGTTGATTTCTGGTTTGCTCTTGTTTCAACAGCCTCGGTAAGCTGGTATTTCACTGTGAGCGAGTTGATGCCCGGTGGGGCAAGTTGGAGTGTGAACAGCGCGCTTGTGATCGACAAGGAACTACAACAAATTTTGGTAATGATATACATTAAATGAAAGAACTCATTAATATGATTTACAAGAAATTAACAAATGATGGAGTTTATGTTATTATGATGTTATTGTACATGGGAACCTCTTTTTGTTATCAGAAAATAGAATTTGCTGTTTCTTATCCTGGGAAGTACGAACTAGGTAGTCTATTTAGCTGTTGCTTTTCTCTTTTTGCCTTTTAAGTTCATATGCTATTGCTTCATTCTTTGTCTAGATCATGTAATTTTCTTTTTCTTTTTCTTTTGCTTTTGCTTCCTTGGAACTGTATTAAACCTTGGTGTTGTGTTTAGATTGAAACAAGTCGAGTATTGAATCTTGTATTCTATCTTGTTGCGGTGGTTACTAAAATTTTAGAAGTTTAAAAATATTGTCAACTATTCTAGGCCTTAAACTTTAACATTGCAACATGTGAGATAAGTTTGACAATTCACTACAAATTCCATTTCAGGTAAAGGTTATTCATGTTATTCATTCCATCTCAGATAATAATAGGTTATTCATGTTATGTACAAGTGCTCGTGATGAAGTTTTAGCACAACCAAAAAAATGGTTTCTATATTGAATGTATACACTAAATCAAAACAATAAAATCTTAGAATAAACCTTCATAGTATACAAAATAGAAAACAGAACCTTAAGCTAACTCAAGTGGTTGGCATCTTGAAACAGTAAAGCGGACAAGAGTGGTTGGTCTTAAGCCACTTAGTAATACAATCTCCATGATAGACGTGAGAGCAGGGCATGCGAGTGATGGATTCTTCATCACAGAATTTCTCGAGACAAATGGTGCAAGAGCGATAGAATGTCATCTTCTCCAAGGCGTCGATGGATGATTGACTTGCGGGCACAAGCTTCAACGTGACGTACTCGTCCATGGACTCCTGTATAGCCCGAGCCATTGATCCATTTAAACCCCGAGTCATGGACCCTCGTAGAATCCGAATCAGTGGCAAATCATCATTATTATCAATATTGGACTCACCCCCGCCGTCAATATCCATAGGATCCTCATTAGAGGATGTCTTGATTACTATTTTAATCATAACTACGGGTATGGCATTGTCTAGAATATCACTTCTACGGTGGTGGCTGGCGCGCAATAAAGAGAGGGCATCGTGATACATCCGGTCATCAATGGTAACTCCCAAGCGGAACACGTAGTGATTGAAAAATCTGCGCGACAAGTCATCAGATTCTATGACACACGACGGCATAGGGTACACGTGTGCTGGTAGTGCGATTGATTTCCGCCGTATCACTGTTGTATCTATAATTATGTACATCTACTTTCAAGCAAACCGTATAAGATCGTTCATATGACATTTGCAATTCTCTGTAAAAAGCTCGCCGTGTGTGCCATTGTTGGCTTCTTTGGTTCACCATCTTCAACCACGACCACGAAAGAACCGAACCGGAAAGACAGAACCGATCCTTGGGATCGATAAATTGTGACTTCACAAAAATTCAGATAGCAAGAGAACCGATACTTCTGGAAAGAGAACCGGGAAGGGGTTAGGGTTTCCTTTTTTTACAAGGAAAATTGGTACTTTTTCTAGGGCAACAACGGGGCTTACAAAGGGGAAAGGAAAGGCAAGGCAAGGCGGCGCGATAACAGAAGAAAGCCTCATCCTTTAAAAGATTTGAAATTAGATTAGTGTTTACTCTTCTTCTTTTTTTCTTTTTTATTTTTTATTATTATTATTTTTTAAATGGACAAAAAAAAAAAAAACCTGCTATATACAAAAATGTCCAAATATTATTTGGTTTTCAAAAATGACCAAATATTCTTTGGTGTTCAAAAAATTACTATGTATTTTAAATTTTTCAATTTATGCAAATACGAACAATCCCTCAATTTGAAAACTGAAATACTAAAATGTCTTTAAAACTAAATAAAAATAAATATATAAATAATAATAATTTTAAATTTACAGTAATAAAAAACAAGGCATTTTAATAACAACCCTATATTTTATTTATTTTTATTTTAAATTTTTCAAAAAAAAAATTATCTAAAATTCCCTTAAGAGTATTTTGGGGTTCTAGAAAAAATTTGGGCAAAATTGTTGATCAGAGGTAATTTGCTTAAATTTTCAAAATACAGGATATATGCACTATTTATATATATATTTACGCGTATGGACTGGACTAAAATTCTTTATATTATGTTGGACAAAAACTTAGGTGTTAAGGTTTGATAATACCTGGCTTTATTAAACGAATTATTCCTTTCCTTAAATGAATTCCTACTATCACAAGGAAAAGAAGATCGCCCTAGCTATAAAAGATTTTAAATTAGATTAGGGTTTTACCGATTAGGCCAGTAGGTGATGCCAAGATTGTATTGAACCTTGGTGTTGTGTTTAGATTGAAATAAGCCGAGTATTGAATCTTGTATCCTATCTTGTTGTGGTGGTTACTAAAATTTTAAAAGTTTAAAAATATTATCAACTATTCTAGGCCTTAAACTTTAACATTGCAGCATGTGAAATAGGTTTGACAATTCACTACAAATTCCATCTCAGGTAAAGGTTATTCATGTTATTCATTCTATCTCAGATAATAGGTTATTCATGTTCACAAACAAAAAAATGGTTTCTATATTGAATGTGTGCACTAAATCAGAAACAAAAACAGATGCTATATTCATAGTATACAAAATAGAAAACAGAACCTAAGCTCAATCAAGTGGTAGTGCGATTGACTTCTACCATATCACTGTTGTATCTATAGTTATGTCGATCTACTCTCAAGCAAACCGTATCAGATGGTTCATATGGGATTTGCAATCCTGTGTAAAAAGATCGCCCTATGGACCATTGTTGCCTTCTTCGGTTCGCCATCTTCAACCACGACCACAAGTGAACCGAACTGGAAAGAGAGAACCGAATCTTTTGGATCGATAAATTGTGACTTCACAAAAATTCAGATAGCAAGAGAACCGGGAAGGGGTTAGGATTTGGTTCCTTAATAAACGAATTCCTAATTTCACAAGAAAAATTGACCAGTCTTTTTTAGACGGGCTTATGTGTTTTATTATTGGGTTAAGTGCAAAATACCCCTCCTACTAAAGGTCCATGTGTAAATATAATACTTAGCCAAATATTATCAATTTTGTGCAAATAGACTTAAAATGATGACAATACTCTCACTTCAGTTGAATAAATAAAAAATTAGTATAAATCCAACCCATATAAAATGAGGATAATACACTCGAGAAGCCACCAAACTCAACCATTTATTTCTCTTGCGGATGCTCTATTTTAAGAGGCACCTCTTTCTGATGATGAGATCAGAGAGCACAGATTAGTGCGACAGCTTTTCACCCAGATAAAGCTCCAGGTCCTTAGATAAGGAATTGATTGCAAGCAAGCTTAATAATTAGTATTTATTAGTAAGATGTAAGGTTCATTACCACATGAACTTTCTATTTTGTCTCTTGCGAAAGTTTGGTAGAGTGTTTTGTGTGTATATATAATTATATATATCTATATATTTTCAGTATGTATATATATTATATTTATACCATTCATCTACTTATCAGCTTTTATTATATTTTTATTTTTATTTTTATTATACTTATCAATTTTATTATATTTTTTATTATATTATCAGTTTATTATATTTTATATATATTTTTATATTATCAGTTTTATTATAGTTTTTTTTATTATATATTATCGTATTATTATATACTTTTTTATTATCAATTTTTTATTATATTATCAGATTTTATTATTTTATTAGTTTTATTATATATATTTTTAATTATATTATCAGTTTTATATTTTTATTATAGTTTTTATTATATTATCAATTTTATTATATCAGTACGTATATATGTGTTTTTTAAAATATTTTTATTATACTTATCAGTTTTTATTATATTTTTTTATTAATTAATTTAGGTTTCATTACGAAACAAATAATATGTACACGTGGAGAGAGAGGAGAGAGGAACAAAATGGGTATTGGGGTCATATGCACATATAGGTGAGGGGTAAAATGGGAATCAATTGGGTAAAATAGGGTTTTCATATTTATTTTTTTGTCAAAAAGTGGTTAGAGGGGCTTATTTGCATCTTTTTTTAATTTTATGAACTAATATACACATTTTCAAAAAGCAGGTATTAGTTTTGCACAAACCCTATATATCAGGATTTTTTTTTTGCACTTAACTTTTTTATTATCAGGTAAAGTGCGCAAAAAAAAAAAAAAAAAAAAAAAAAACTACTATATACAAAAATGTCCAAATATTCTTTGACGTTCAAAAAAAAAATTGCTTTTTTTAATTTGTGCAAATAAAGACAATTCCTTAATTTGAAAACTAAAATGCCTTTAAGACTAAATAAAAATAGAGTAGTGATACACACACCAAATACTTGTAGTGAATTGTTTAACTGAATAATTTTTAATTCGCTATTTTATTTATTGCATAATTGACTAATTAAAAGAATAAGTTTAGCAATTCACTGCAACTATTCGGTACAAGAATTATTTTTCATAAAAATAAATATATAAATAATAATAATTTTAAATTTTAAATTTAAAACAATAAAAAAATAAGGCATTTTAATTAGAACCCCATATTTTATTTATTTTTATTTTCATAAAATAAAAAATAAAAATAAAATATCTAAAATTCCCTTAAGAGTATTTTGGGGTTCTAGAAAAAAAATTGGCCAAAGTTGTTGATCAGGGCTAATTTGCATAAAATTTTAAAATACAGGGTATATGCACTTATATATATATATAATAATAGGGTATATTATTTCAAGAACTCACTTGTTTACGTGTATGGACTGGACTAAAATTATTTACAGTATGTTGGACTATACATTAATAAGGGTTCGGGTTTGATAGTAACCAGCTTTATTAAAAGAATTCTTCATTTCCTTAAACGAATTCCTACTATCACAAGGAAAATTGGGCTCTGGATCATCCTTTAAAAGATTTGAAATTAGATTAGGGTTTTAATTTTTCGGATGCTTCATCAGAGTAGTAGTTTTGATGCAAACAAAGTTAATGAGGTTAGTAAAAATTTAGGGAATTTGTGGAGAAGCGAAGAGATGTTTTGGAAACAAAAGTCCAGGGTTCAATGGCTTAAAGAAGGCGATAAAAATTCAAAGTTTTTTCATGCTAAAACACAGCAGAGAAGGAAGAGGAATCTTATTTCTAGACTTGAAAATTCTGAAGGAGTTTGGTGTGAGGATGATTGCCATATTTGTCATATCGTACTGACTTATTTCCAAGATTTGTATAAATTAGAGCAAAATTATGATTTCAATAATTTCCTTCAAGCTACCACTCAGCTTATTTCAGAGGAGGACAATAGGAATTTGATGAGATTGGGTACAGAGGAGGAGTTAAAGGATGCTTTGTTTGCTATGGATTCACTGAAGGCTCCAGGACCTGATGGCTTCTCTCCTTTATTTTTCAAACGGTATTGGGGTTTGGTTAAGAATGATATTTTGAGAGCTTTTAATGATTTTCTAAGCTCGGGGAGTTTACTTAAATGTTTGAATCATACTAACCTCGTTCTTATCCCTAAAGTAAAAAGTCCAACCAAAGTGTTACAATTTAGGCCTATTGTGTTATGCAATTTGGTTTATAAAATATTTTCCAAAACGTTGGCAAATAGATTGAAATCTTTGCTTGAGAAGATCATTGATGCTCACCAATGTGCATTTGTGCCGGATCGACTTATTTTGTATAGCATTTTAGTGGCTCATGAGATTGTACATTTTTTGAAAAATAAAAAGGGGGGAGAGGATAGGTTTATTGCCTTGAAATTGGACATTAGTAAAGCATATGATAGGGTTGAGTGGAATTATTTGTTAGCAGTTATGGAGAGAATGGGCTTTGCAAAGGAATGGGTGCAGTTGATTAAAACTTGTTTGGCTTCTGTCAATTACTCAGTGTTGTTGAATGACAGTCCCCACGGGATGATTATCCCGAGGTTTGAGACAAGGAGATCCTTTATCCCCTTATCTTTTTCTCTTATGTACCCAAGGTCTCTTTAATATTCTGCATGCTGAATTATCACAAGGTTCCCTCTCTGGAGTTTAAATTTGTCATAGAGCTCCCAGAATCTCTCACCTTTTTTTTGCAAACGATTGTCTCCTTTTGTAAGGCCGAGAATGAAGAAGTTCAACGATTGGCAAAGATATTGAAGGAGTGTGAATTGGTATCCGAACAAACTATTAATATGGATAAATCAGCATTATTTTTCAGCAAGAACACTCCTCTTTCCGATAGAAATTATATCCGCATAATTCTTGGG